AGAGAGGTTCTCCTCTGGCGAGCCACGCCATGTCGTTGGCGTCGGAAAAGGTGAGGCGGTGCTGGTCTTCCCTGGACGGCTGGGGTCCTACGGAGACACCGAGTTGGCACTCAAACCTCTCGTAGTTGAGGCCGATGGAGGGGAGAGGTTGGATGGCGGCGTGAGCTAATGCCAACTCTCCTCCCACCGTGACGATGAAGTCCAGGTCACCAAAGCGCATGTGTGCGCCCGAGACCCAGTTGATTCCATGGCTAGCCATCTGTGGCCTGATGTTAACGTCAAAACGCACAATGGTCCCCTACCTGGTGCGCTAACTTTCGGTGTTTCAAGTAAACACTAACTAGTAAATTTGTATTATTGCGCGTTAGGCCCAGATGGTGTGCTAAAAAGACACAAGGTTTATACTAGTTCGGGCTGAATGTCCCTACGTCCAGTTCGTGGTTGCTGCTTATGTTATTTGCACTGAAAGGTTCATAGTAGGGGGTATAAACGGGTGAGAGAGATACAGGTCCCAAGTCTCTGATGGAAAGGTCGAACGAGAGCTAAGAGCTTGGATGCTGCATAGCTATGTGGTGTGATGTGTGTGGAATTTTTTTGTCCCCTTAGTGGGGTGCCCTGCCCTCCCTTTTATAGATCAAGGGGGAGCAAGGATTACAGATGGGAGAAAGAAGAAAACCAGAGGCAAAGAAGGTCCTTCGAAGGTGCCGGGTCTTCCTTTTCCTTTGAGCCTGCCCTGCTGACACGGCAGACGGTGCCAGGGATAGCACGTTCGGTGATCCTGATAGGGTCATGCTCTGGCTTCATTCAGCAAGTGGTCACGTCTCATCCTGCTCCGGCGGTCGGCGCGACGCACCAGGGTGCCGAGTTGTGACCCTACGAGGAGCAGACGGCGTAGAGGCCCCATGTTCGTTACTGTAGATGACATGAGTTTCCTCCTGGACCATAGTGGTTGTTGTATGTTTCCGTCAGGATTCGTGTCCAAGGGAAAATGCCGGCGCCCATAACACTGTAGGATAAATGTCGGCGCCCACAACACTATTTAGGCTCTGACATGCCTGGAAGGGCTTAAAGCGCCCGTCTGGTCATATCCTGATGGTACTTTCCTGCAGGCGTGCAGGGTATGGTCCTCGGTATTGCGGTTGACTTAAGTGCCCCGCCTTATCTGCACGCGTAGTTATGAAGGAGTAGCGCATAGACGTCGGGTGAGGCGGAGTCTGCCCTCAGACGTCGAGCGAGGCGGAGTCTGCCCCTAGATGTCAGGCGAGGCGGAGTCTGCCCTCAAATATCGGGCGAGGCAGAGTCTGCCATCAGACGTCGGGCGAGGCAGACTCTGCCCCCAAACGTTGGGAGAGGCGGAGTCTGCCCCCAGACATTGGGCGAGGCAAAGTCTGCCCTCAGACGTCGGGCGAGGCAGAGTCTACCCTCAGATGTCGGGCGAGGCGGAGTCTGCCCTGAGACAGCGGGCGAGGCAGAGTCTGCCCCTGGACGTCGGGCGAGGTGGAGTCTGCCCCTAGACGTCGGGCGAGGCGAGGTCTGCCCCTAGACGTCGGGCGAGGCAGAGTCTGCCCCTGGACGTCAGGTGAGGCAGAGACTGCCCCTGGACGTCAGGCGAGGCAGAGCCTGCCCCTAGACGTCGGGCGAGGTGGAGTCCAGCCCTTGGGGGTTGGGTGAGGCAGAGCCAGCCCTCAGACATCGAGCGAGGCAAAGTCCAGCCCTCAGGGGTCGGGCGAGACGGAGCCAACCCTTAGGGGTCGGACGAGGCAGAGCCAACCTTCGGTCATTGGGCAAGAAGTGTAGTTGTGTTCTTGTCTGTTCGGAAGCATCAATGTTTGAAGGTTATTAGCTTTGGGTACCCCAGTATTCGGTCCCCGACAATTACGTAACCTCCTCTCCTTGCATTCTACACTTGCATCTGCATCTCCCATGGGTAGCTCTGATTCTCTCATCTATTTGTCTCCCCTAAATCTTTGTTCTCTTGTTTTCCCCAAATCGACAAACCCTATCCATAGCGGTGGGTGCCTGGGTGGCTGCTGGGCTACGGACTCCGGTGAGGCCATGATGGCGCGTTGGCGTGTTAGCACGAGGCTGCGATGGGCGATGAACCAGTGGCTGAATGTGGGAGAGGCGCGGCGGATACGGTCGGCGGCTGCACGAGGCTGTGACCTACGACTGCGAGCATCTGAGCCCAAAGGCGCAACACACCAGCGCTGCAAGCCGCACCCGCGTGGATTGTTCTAGTGTCGTAGCGTGCCTCTGCGAGGCCACGGGGAATGGCGTCTGGCGGCCTTTTGGAGGCCAAGGCCAATGGCAGGCTGCCGACATGCTTGGCAGCTGGCCAGCGGCACCAAGGGGCGGGGAAACGAGGACCGATTGGAACAACATATGGAGCGTGAATTCAAATGGTAAGTTAACATTCGATTGTCATAGGTGAGTAGCCCCTGTATTATAAATGTGTTTAACTTAGAGTTTAGAAAATTCTGACATTCTAGAGACAAACGATTTCCCATACCAGCAAGCGATAGATATATTGTTAGTAGGTTGGAGGATGAAACGATTTTCCTTGCTGCTACGTGAAGCTGCTGAAGTCCTGTTGTTGTATATCTCCTGTGTCGCTACGGTCAGGAAGGCAAACAAGTGAAATGGCAAAAGATAAGTTGGGGAAAGAAAATAGAAAGCAAGGGGAAAAAGGTTATAGGTTGATGGGAACCGTTAATTATTTGCACATTTAGGATTTCTATTGTGAGACAAGATTCTAAGAATCAACTAGATGCAATGTTTATGTATACAAACCATGTCATCATCGTGCCAATTAAAAAGTACACCCACGATGTTTCCTCTTGGCCCCTGTTCTTAGATCTGATTAATTAATAACGGCATTAACCTGAAATCTTTTCTGCAGATCCTTACCCTATGGTGCAAGGCCCCTAGGATTCTCCTTGGTTCCACACACTAACTCCAAGCTGGTTGGTTGACATATGGTCTGTTGGTCAATTTTCGGTAAGATTTCGATGAATTGAGACATCACTTTTCAAGTGAACTGCTTCATAACTCACACTGACATATAGATATTCTAACCTGGTGTAAATTGCAGATGAGTTGGTCACTAACCAGCCACTTTTCCCTGGTGACTCTGAGTTGCAGCAGCTGCTCCGCAACTTCAAGTAATATCCGCAGTGCCTTTAGTTTATTTTTTTTATCATGTCTAATACTAACAATGATATTCTGATAATGACGTGGGCACCCCGAGTGACTGTCTGGAAGAGAGCAGGTGGCAGCAAACCTGTCTGCGCATCCTGTTGGGAACTCAACCTTAAACATGTTGGGCTCGTTCGCTGGTCTGGACGGGTTCAGCCAGCCAGCTGGTCCCCCTCACGCGTTACTGTTCATCAAACCAGCCGAACAGTGTTTTTCTCTCACAACAAACCAGCCGGAACAGTATTTTTCAGCCAAGTTTCAGACCAGCGAACGGGACCATTATGTGAGACCATCTATCAACAACTCCACCTATTGATAACATAATCAGGTGGTTGAGTTGGACACTGCTCTTGGTGGTCTAGGGAGGCGCAAATTCGCGCATGACGGCGGTGTTGACACATAATTGATATTGGTGTTCTGCGTTTCTCGCAGGTATGCTTGTGTTTTTGGGGCCTTCTAACGGTACCTTACAAGCACCATTTCTGACATCTACCACTCCCTTGTTTGGCTTCTCCTAGGAGAGCGCTTGGTGAGACCCACGAAACAAAATAATAAACAACCAAAAAAATGTATTTCTTTCTTTCTCGTGACTCTGTTCTATGTCCACTCTGCTCATTTTGTTTTGATATGAACCTTTTCCTATGACGATATATCAGGGTTCAATGTCTGACATCCCTGTTCATGTGTCGCCTCCTACTTGAGCGAGCACCCACACCTTGGATCCTTGTCTGGAGCACTTAGGTTGCTGCTTCTACTTATTGTTTTTCCATAGGTATAGGTTGTTTGTATCTTGGTGCTTCTACTTCATATTGTATAGCTCCTAGGAGGCTACGGTCAGGAAGGCAAACAAGGGAAATAGCAGAAGACGAGTTGGGGAAAGAAAATAAAAAGGAAGGGAAAAGGTTTAGGTTTGTGGGAACGGTTAATTCTTTGCAAATTTAGTTCGTCCGTTGTGAAAAGTTTCTAAGAAACAACCAAATGCAATGTTTATGTGTATAAACCATGGTAATTGCATTGATTTTCAGATTGATCGTGAATTAGGCTGATTTTTTCAATGAATTTATGGGATTGATTGGTTTAGATTGATGACGCGGGAGCCGGGAGGACGGGTGCCGCGCGGCCTCCTCTCCGGTGTGGTGTGCAGTGCGGCGCTCGTCTTATCACAACCGGACACACGGGCGCGGAGGCACGTGGAGTCAGACCCGTGCAGAAGGTGTCCAAGATCGGGTAGATAGAGGAGAGAGAAAATAAAATAAGTGAGGAAGAAAAGAAAATGATTAAAAGAAAAGAAGAAAATAATTCATTGAGGGCATTTTAGACTTTTTGCATCACGGTTGGACACCGTTGCCGGTGAAATTGGACAGAATGGCTTGGGTGAAAAAAAAAAGTTTAATAACACCTCGTTTGAATTTTTTAATGGCTTGTAGATAAGAACTATTTTTTTAAATGGTAAATCGGTAAAACTCTCAAAATATATAGCACTGTGGATAATAGCGTGGATTTTAGCGTGTTTGGAAGGCCGATTATTTATTACCTACTGGATTTTGAAAATATCCCGATCGTTTACGAGCGAGAAACCCTTAGCGAGCACGGGTACGAACCAAGAAACAAGAGCAGAGGAGTGTAGGCAGTGGATATATGTCGCTGTCAGCAACTGCGATTACATACTACTCCTACAGTAGTGCCGGATGCTTTGATTGCGGTGGGTGGTGTGGAGTGGATCAGAAACAGAACATCAGAAGATCGATCCAAGCGCAGCAAGAAAGGAAGAAAGGCATGCGTCATATGCATATGATGGGATTGGGATGGCGGGTATGGAGGAGTTGCTGACGCTGCTGTTCAACGCGCTGCTGCTGGTGTTCGTGGTGAAGCTCTTGCTGGCCTTGTTCAACACCAAGATCATCGTCATCCTCCTCTACATACTCGTCCTCCTCTTCGCCATGCTCCTCTCCGGCAGATTCCCCGGTTGATCGAGGTATCCACACCAACATCCTATTGATTTATTGGATTGGATCTACAGTAATAATGGGGAAAAAGAGGAGGAGGAAGAGGAAAAGGAACAACGCCGCCAATGGAAGGGCTCAAAGGAAAGGAAAGGAAAGGCTCTTCCTTTCCCCTCCCAGAGAAACCAAGCCCCGGACCGGAAGGGAGGCGGAGACCTTGCTCCCTGTCCCACCCTTTGTGCCCGCCTCTACTGCCCTTCCCGTTGCACAGCACAGCACAGCACAGCCACCGTGTGCGTGTGGTGGCACCGGCGGCTGGCCTCCCCCGCCGGAACTCGGAAGGGGATCCGCGGCTGCATCTATCTCCCCGCCGATCTCCGTCCGTCCACCCTCCACACCGGCGCCGGCCTTGCCGCCGTTGCCATTGCAGGCGTTTCTGAGGATGGGGGCGACCGGCCTCTTCCTACTTCCCCTTTGCTGCCCAACGCAGAAACCCGATGTTTATGATTCATTCCTTCCTTACTTCCATCGCTACTGCTCCAATGTAATGGATCCAGCCAATTACTTTTTTTCCTTTCCCAGAAAAACAAGCAACGTTTTGTCTTGTGTAGGTGATGATGATCTGAGTTCAATTATACATTATACTTGGTTCATACTATCACATATATATACTCTACTCTCTATCTCATTTCTGTCTCGTGTTTACTCTGAATTGAATTTTCATCTCCGCAGGTTGAGTTGGGGAACCCAAGCCTTCTTCATCCCAACAAACGGAAACTCTACATTTTTCTGTGGACTCTAGTTTAACTGTTGCGCCGTCGATTCAGGTTAGTAAGTTTTTGGGTCAAACTGTAGATACACTATGAGTACTAATTTACATTATTAGTCCAAGTGTCCTATGTATGGCCGTGTGATATACTGACATGTAGCCCTCACGCGTACAGTTTCACTGAATCTTTGGTAAAATTTCTCTTTTTAACTGAATGTTTTCGTAAGTGTCGGCATAGCATAAACAAGAGAAATAAGGTCCCCAAGCACAAAAATTGACCATGTGGTTGGTTCTTCCCACCCCCACTAGCGTAAATGCTATTAGTTAAACTATTCACGCACTAATCTTTCAACCACCAAACCAAGTATAACCAGCAGACTGTAAACTACTTGTATTTTGGTATACATCTTCTTAACCTGTTATATATGGCAAGTGGAATAGTCCTGGAATAAAGCCACCAACCAGTTTGGCAGCAGCAGCTTAGGAATATGTTTGAGTAGTTAATTTGTTCGTAAGCACTTGGCCTATAAAAATAAAAGGGCGGCCTAAAAAATGAGTCCTAGATTAGGAAAGTAAGGGAGAAACATAATCCACTTAATTAGGTAACTCAGAGCCTCCTTATTGACCAGGTTTACTGTCAAACATACCAATTGGCAGTCACAAAGCCAGCTGTTTTGTGCAAACCTGAATATTATGCTTACCCTGGCCAATCGATCTACCACATCATCACTCTTGTCAACAGCACTAACAAATAGGGGCAGAGTCACAAAGCCAGCTGTTTTGTGCAAACCTGAATATTATGCTTACCCTGGCCAATCGATCTACCACATCATCACTCTTGTCAACAGCACTAACAAATAGAGGCAGAGTCACAAAGCCAGCTGTTTTAGGCTCCTACTATATATGCCTATGCGTAAGCATTGCTAGGTAGGAAATGTATACCTAAACCTCAGAATTCTGTATTCTTTCTGAATGTTTTATATCATTTCTCATGCTTGATACAATTCCATTAGTTTGATTTTTTTTTTCTGCAGTAGAGGATCTGATTAATTGTCTACTGAGCTCTCTGTTGCACTCTAAATATGCTTACTGGGTGGTAAAAAAGGAGCAAGTGACGTGTGGAGCATGCTGATTGTAGTTGTGAGCTAAGAAACAGTTGTTTATAGTTCCAGCCTTAAATGAATAATCCTAGTTGCTCCATATGTCATAGCAACAGAGTAGTTGTAGGCATGGTTTGAGATCTCGGCCGGAAACAAGCTTCTTGCTCGCTTGTGTTGGATTGCCTACCTGCCAGCAGCTGTTTGACCGTTCTTAAATTCCCTGGTTTAAGCAAAGATCCCACTTAGAGAAGCAAAGGTGATTTAAGCTAAAAACTATGCTGGTGACCTAACCAATTGCAGATCTTTTTCTTGAGGTCGTCTTCTTGTTTTTATTCCAGAATTCTTTACTAAGACAAGGATATGGACTCTCATAGTTCTTTCCAGCAACATTGTTAACATTTCATTGACACCTTTATCCAATCCAATGAACCAGATTCAGAAGGAAAAAAAAACTTTTGGTGTCTGTAGATGATCTATAGGAACCCTGCTGTTAGTTATATACTCCAGTTGTTATTCTTGGTGATTTTAGACTATTATTAAAAAAAAACTAGGACCAGATGACTTGTACAGATGTAGTACATTCTAACGATCCAATTGCGGATTTAGAACTGCTGAAGCGTTGAAGCTGAATTAAAATAAACATTCCCTTGTTCCGTGAAGTTTCATTGCTTTTGTTTCTGATGAGCTCCACTATTTGTTTATTGTATTGTACTAGGTTGGCGAAGGCGAGCAGTAGCTTGTAGATGCAACCTCGGAGGAAGTATGGGAATCAATCCGTGGTGAGCGTGGCTGAAATGCAGCTTGGCTGTCAGTTAACGAGCATATGGTCAGCAGGTAGGAGTATATATATGGGTTAACCAAAAACAATACAAGAACAAGAGGGCTGGATCACTTTGGCAGTGTTTGTCGCCAAGCATTTCAGTTCTTTTCAGTCATTTCTTTTCATGTATTAAAATGCTGATCACTTTGGCAGTGTTACTTGTGCGCAATTGAAGCATGACTAGAATGTTGATTTTTTTTTCATAAATGTTTGGCTGCACATGTGTATGTCGTGGCAAACTCAATTCAATCGCAGAGAATTTTGAAAATAGGTTAGATATAAAAGGGTTTCTCTCTCTCTCTCTTTCCTTTGTCATTCAAAAAAAGGGGAATATGTAAAAAGGAAAAGTGCCAATAAGTTGTACGGTTATCTAAGTTTTTTGAGGGTTACTAAAAAGATTGATTCCCAACGGAGGGAATGGAATGGAAGAGCAAGAGCTGCTCAAATCATCTTGGCTCCAAAAACAAAAAGAAGAGAGAAGCTACGCCACTGATCGATTTGATTTGTACGGTGTGAGACAGACAGTCCCATCATCTGGGGCCCGAGAGCTGCTGCGCCGACACGCACGACGGCGGCAACCAGCTGTTGCTGAAGCAGCCGCCGGCGTCCTTGGGCTTCCCTTGGTCCATCCACCCGGCAGCGGCGAGCCGCAGGTCCACCAGCCCGCGCCCGTACATCCTGAGGTACCGGAGGAGCTCCGCCCGGGGCTCGCCGGCCTCCATGCTGCCGTCGAGCATGGCGGACACCACCTTCATGCTGGGCCGCAGCGGCCGCGTCCTCGTGGAGGCAGCAGAACGCCACCCGCACCACACGCTCCACCTGCGCCACGTCCGCGCGCCCTTCCAGCCTCGGGTCCACCAGCTCCTCGTACCGCCCCTGCTCGTGCAGCTCCAGCGCCAGCGCCGGGAAGTAGCCGCCGGTGTCGTCCCGGTCTGACGACGACGACGCGCTGGACCCGCTCGCCATCTGATGCTGCTCCTCCTCCCCCTGCTTCTTGGAGTTCTTCCTCCCGCGCACGATCTCCAGCAGCACCATGAGCCACTCTGGCGCCAGGTACCCGCGCGTGCCGCGCATCGTCGTGAACAGCCCCGACTGCTCCGGGCTCATCAGCTTCGCCAGCCCGAAATCGGCGATCTTCACGCCGCCGTGGTCGTCCAGGAGGATGTTCTCCGGCTTCACGTCGCAGTGCAGGACCTTGCGATCGCAGCCGGCGTGGAGGTACGCCAGCCCGCGCGCCGCGCCCACGCACACGCGCAGCCGGGCCGCCCACTCCAGCTCCAGCGTGCCGGTGCGGAAGAGCGTCTGGTCCAGGGAGCCACGGTTCATGTACTCGTACACCAGCAGCTGCCGCCCCGCGCCCTCGGCGCAGAACCCGCGGAGCTTCACCAGGTTCACGTGGTGGACGTTGCCGATCACGGCGATCTCCGTCAGGAACTCGCGCCGGCCCTGCGTGCCCAGCCCGTTCATCGGCTTCACCGCCACGGTGCTGCGGTCGGGGAGCTCGCCGCGGAACACGGAGCCGAACCCGCCGGAGCCGATCTGCCACCTGAAGCCGTCCGTCGCGGCGTCCAGGTCGGCGTACGTGAACCGGGTCGGCAGGCCGGGGATGAGCACGTCCTCGTCCAGGCCCTCGCTGTCGGACGGGGCGGAGGACGCCGCCCGCGACGACGACAGCATCGCCGGCAGCTTGAACCAGCTGCTGCTGCTGCTCTTCTTCTTGAGGTGCTGCGGCCGGCGCCTCCTGAGCATGGCGTAGAGCAGGAAGGAGATGATTGCGGCCGCCACGGTGGGGAACACGATGCCGAACACGATGGTTATCAGGCTCAAGGACGACGAGGAGCCTTTATTGCCGCGCTGCTGCTGCTGCTGGGGTGACGGGAGCGTCTTGATGAAGCCGACGCCGACGTCGCCACGTCGGCGCCGGCGCGGAAGGCGGAGCCGATCCGGTTGCGCAGGAGGAAGCAGGACCTGGAGGTGTTCTTGTAGAAGAAGCCGAGGCAGGAGCAGTTGGCGGAGCAGACGTCGCAGCACGCCGGGAGCTCGTCGCCGGAGGTATCGGCTACCGCGAACTTGGTGGGCGGGTAGCCGATCCCGGCGCCGAGGCTGACGTAGCTGTAGCGCGTGAATTTTTTTTTTTTAATTTTAACACTTTTTGGAAATTAATTTTAAATCTAACACGGTCGGTTTTTTTTAAACTAATACTTTTGGCCGCTTCTATTGCCCTGGCGCGGCCAAATGCCTGTGTCGCGCCATGCATGCATGGTGGCGCGGCAGAGGGCTGACGTGGCGGCGACCGAAATCGCTGATCGCTGACGGGCGGGGCTGCGCGTCACACGATCTTGACGGCAGCAGTGCAGCGCTACGATCCGTGGGCGTGGCGGGGCGAATAAAACCCCGCCCGCGTCCCCGCGTCCCGATGGCCGATCGATTGTCGTTACCCAAGCGGCAAGGCAGAAAGGTCGCTGCCGCCATGCCCAAGATCCGACGACCACGCCACGCGCCAGCAAGTCAGTGTCCGCCACGCCCACCCAACCGGCCCGACGCACGCGGGCTGCCAAGCCACCCCTCCCGCCACGCACGGGCGGCCGCCGCTGAGGAGCCTGCGCCCGCTCCTCCCGATCCGGTCTAGCGCGCTGCAGCGAGGTACTCCCCTAATATAGTTAGTATAGTTAATAAAGTTAGTAAAATTATTAAAGTATAGTTAGTTAGTTTAGTTAGTATAGGTAATATAGTAAGTTAGTAGAGGTAGTTTAGTTAGTACAGTTATTGAGTCTAGTTATGCATTGGATTTAGTCTAATTAGTTGTTGTAGTTAGTCTTGTATAGATGTTAATATTAGATTAGTTAGTATAGTTATAATTAGAATATGTATTAATATTACTATGGACATTACGTACGACGATTTCGACGACTTAATGAAGTTTTTTGAAATGCTTTTGCAGATGGATTGTTGTGTTAGAGTTTTGTATGGAGGAAGTGTTAGGAGAGAAGATGGTATGTTTGAGGATATAGAAGAAGAATTTGAATGGTTTGATGAACCTCCTAGCTTCAACGACCTTTGTGTCCGTTTGAATGCAAAGTTTGGTGGTGATTTCACACTGAAGTGGAGGTTTGATACTGGGAAGACTAGGGCACACTATGTCCTCGTGCCCTTGCGTGACCCTGCTCACTGGTCCCGCTACAATAAGGTTCTCCAAGGTTCCAATGTGCCTATGGCTGAGGTGGTGGTGGAGAATGGATACATGATGCAAGGTGTTCAGGACGGCCCGTCCATTGATGGTTTTGGAGGCAATGACAAAGAATTAGGGGTCGAAGCGAAAGCAACTCAGGATAACATGAATTTGGACGGTCAGTTGACGCAGGAGCAGTTTCATTCAACTACAGTAGGTTATATAAGCAATGACTTCGATGTGAATGAGTTCGAACGGAAGAGGAGGAGCAAGAGGAGGAGGACAGGATCGGTGATGTAGTTAGTAGTGATTCAGATGATTCTAATGATGACCTAGGAGGTACAGATGCTATGCCAATACCGGCGATGCCATGCCAGTACCGGTTCATACTATGCCATTACCAGTACCAACTAAGGTTTTGCATGGTGTCCAGGCTTAGGGTAGACTAGTCACAGATTTGGCTGCAAATGATACCCCCTATGATTCATGGGCCAGAATTAGTGAAGCGCAGCAGTATGTTCCACCACCACCTTACACAGCGACTGAGCTTGAGCAACTAAGGTCCAAGAACGTACCTTTCAGGGGTGTTCCGAACTATAGGGATGTCAGCATGACGGATATGGCAGTTTGTGACACCGGTCTCCAGATGTGTAGGAATTCATTATATAACCATGAGAAAGAAACCCTTAGTAAGGGGATGATATTCAACACAATGTCAGAGATGAAACTCTTTCTTCAGGACTATGTTGTGTACCACCATAGGCCATACACCGTCACTCATTCGGACCAGGAGTTGAGGTACCACGTGATATGCAAAAACGGTTGTATGTGGAGGTTAAATGCACGAAAGAGACAGAGTGATGGCAAGTGGAGGATAACTAAAGTTGTCAAACCCCACACTTGTCTAGACAATAGGGGGAAGGAAAATCATCAGCAGCTCACTGCACGTTACCTTGCCCATCGTATATTAGGGCTCGTTGATGACAATAACGATATCTCGGTGTCTTCTTTACAACAGTCCATATCTGGATTTGTTAATTACGATGTGACGTACGGAAAGGCTTTGCGTGCTAAGCAAATTGCTCTGGCGATTCGATGGGGTACTTGGGAGGAAACGTACAACAGGGTGCCCCGCATCTTATGTGCAATGCATTACTACAACCCTGGCTTGAAATGGTTTATGGACACCGGAGGGATGTTTTTTCGAGACCCATTGAGGCATGTCCTCTATCGTGTATTCTGGTCGTTCACGCAAACAGAACATGCATTCTAGTTTTATCGGCCAGTCATACTTGTTGATGGCACTTTCCTGACAGAAAAGTATAGGGGCACCTTGATGATGGCTGCTGCTGTTGATCCTGAGGACCAGATACTACCCATGGCTTTTGCTTTGGTAGAGGGAGAGAACAATGAATTGTGGTCATGGTTCATGCGACTTCTACGTGTGCAAGTGCTTGGCCCAACTCGCACTATATGTTTGATCTCGGACCGTCACGCAGGGCTTCTTAATGTTGCAGCTGAGCATATAGATGGGTTCCCGCCTCTAGTACATAGATGGTGCATGAGACACTTTGCCGCTAATTTCTGACAGCGTCAGCGGAAGCAGAAGGTATGTGACAAGGTAAAGGCTCTATGTTGTGTACGTACGGAGCACCAGTTCAAGGTGATAAAGAGAGAACTAGACAAGATGATAAATACAGCGAGAAAGGCATGGTTAGAGGCGTAGATGGAACAGAAGGTTCAGTGGGCGTTAGCATATGATGAGGGGGGTTTCAGGTATGGCATCATGACCACTAACTCCTCCGAGTCCTTCAACCGTGTATTCACCGGAGTTCGATCGTTGCCTATGTCTGGAATTGTTGAGTTCTCCTTTCATAAGTGCAACGAATATTTTATGAAGAGGTGGGAACTTGCGGAGAGGAATATAGCTGAGCAGGGACGTTTTAGAAAGCCTGGAGCTAAACATTTGAAGGAGGCTGAGAAATTGGCCAAGCATCACACCGCCGAGCCGTATGGACCCCGCTGCCATATCTTTAGTGTACGGGGTAAGGGTGGCACAAGCTTGGGTGGCGAACGTTATGGTGGACGAAACTACCGAGTTGATCTTGAAAAGGTAGAGTGCAGTTGCAACGTCCCTCAGATCATGCATGCCCCTTGCTCTCATATGATCACGGTCTGCAGGGTTCACGGGTACAACTATGAGGATCTACCATATATGTCACCCTTGTATCTCCGTTCGAACACCGTTATCATTTGGGAGATGAGCTTCGAGCCATACCTTGACCCGACACAGTGGCCACCTTATAATGGTTATGACTACATGCCACATCCGGATCTAATGAAGGTAGGAAAGGGTAGGAGGAAGAAGAAGCAACTCAAGGGGGACATGGACGCTATGAGAGGGTACGGCGAAGACATGTACGGCGGGGGAGACTTCAACGAGACCCATGACAGGAATCTTTGCTCCGTTTTGCAAACAATCTGGTCACAAGGCTAGCTGACATAGAAGACGAGGGCAGCAGGGGATTTCATATTGTGTTCGTATTGCATAACAAGTAGTTCAAATTTTGTAATGCTACATAATGTTAATCTAAATATTGTTAATTTGAATGCTCTAACCCTTTGTTTATCAGTTTATAATAGGATGGCCCCTCCCACGCCGCACCAGTTGTACCCCCTCCTTGAGGTGGAGTACGACAACCCCCTTCTTCCATCGGACGACGAGGTTTTCAAGAGGCGTTCGAGGGATCCTTATATTCATGGGACTTAGTTCATTACGTCGAACTTATGTCGAACGAATATTGTCGTCGAAAACTTGCAGACTCATAAACCAATGAAATTGTTATGTAGCAACTTGTTGTCCATTTATTTACTTCATGTTCGTTTCAACTTGCGCACGGTCGAGGCACTTGTAGATTTGCACAGCACCGACAACATCTCAATTGAAATTGGTCGTTGCCTGTCCGCATCACTGCCGCGCCGTTGCCTATGGCGTGGCACTGACGCGCCATGTACCATGGCGCGGTACTGACGCATGATACGTTCAATTTAGAAATTTTGAACGCATGATACAAACTGATGTGATCACTTAAGATCGATCATGGATAATCCGAGTACATGATACATGGGTACAATACATCAGTAGTTCAAATGGAATATAAGACAACATAATGGAATTTCTATTACATAGCTATATTGATCATTAATAAAGCATGGAACTAACAGAAGGCGCAATCAAAAACCCTCAGTCAGAAACATATTGAGTAAGCAACTCGTCGTCCGAGTACCAATCCTCAACCACAACCCTGTTGCTGTGGCTAGGCTCACATGCATTGCCATGATCTGCCTTTCGCCTGTAGTAAGCGGCCTCCGCTTCATGTGCGGCCTCTATGGCCTGAGTGAAGAACGCGTCGTCATCCTCCTCCGCCTACAAGCCCACCTTTGCTAGAGCGATGAGCTCACTCAGTCTGGCAGTGTCGTCCTCAGTCTCCTCCGCCTGTAAGCCCGCCTCTGCTAGAGCGATGAGCTCGCTCAGTCTACCAGTGTCGTCTTCAGCCTCCTTTGCCTGCAAGCCCGCCTCTGCTAGAGTGATGAGCTCGCTGAGTCTGGCAGTGTCGTCCTCATCCTCGTCCCCCTCATCAGACAACACAATCGGTGATTCAACGGTGTGACCAGCTCGCTTTTTGTGCTCATCTAACTTCTTTTCCTCGTACCTTGCACGAGCCACCTCTGCAGCATGGTCCTCGCTACATCCAATCCCCATTTGACAAGCCCAACGTCGATCGGGTTACAAATACCGCGCTGCCTAGCAAACTCACGCATCTTGTCTTTGTGATGTTTAACGAAAAGGTTGACGTAGTCAGGTCCATATCCCCTCTTCCGTGCAATTACTTGCTTCCCCTTCAGTTCATCCAAGAACTTAGCTTGACCATCATAACATTCCCACCTGCATTTCCTAGTGCTCTATTGAAACGATAAATTATATCATATATGTCTTAGCAAAAGAAACAAAATACGATTCCATGGTTACCACAAAAATAACCAACCTCATCATAGTCAATCATATGGCCGCAATAATGACCTATTCCAAGCTCTGAAGGGACTAGACCGTAGTTGGATTTAACACCACATTCACACTTGACTGGTGGTGCTTTGTAAATTAACATTTCTTTTTTCTTTTGCTTTGCTTTTGGAGGTTCTTCAGGCCATTGGTTCTTAGGACCATACAACCACTCCTTGAAACGACACTTCGCCATTGAATACACCTAAATAACATGACATTAGTACATGAGCATATACAGCT